CATGCGTGTACTCAGAAGGATGCGTAGTGCGTTGGTCTGGCAAAGGAGCAGCAGCAAATGTGTGGGCGATGTTTTGGACGCCATCATTGACAAGGCCGGTATATGCAGCCGCGGCGACAAGGACGAGAGAAATGCGAAGCGGGACGGGGAGGGAGTGACGCGGTGGAAGCACCGCAACCGCCCACCCGAGGGGATCATTGCCGCGGTGATGCGGGGGTCCAACCCTTTTTTTGTGTCGCTGCGCCCCGGGACGAACGCGACATCAAAGAAGAAGGAGACCGCGGAGGGCCCGCGCGTGAACGAAGCGGTGACGCGGGGCAGGGGAGCCGTGCCGAAGAGGGAAAAGAGGCGTGGACCCAAACGCACGGCGGCTGGGTGTGGCAACAAGCAGAGAATTAATGCGCCTGTGATGGCCACAACAATACAGTCGTGTGTGTTGTCCGCTGCCGGTGCTTCAGTCGCTTCCACAACACCGCCGCCACCGTGTCACGCCCGTCGCCTCACTGCACGAAAACTTCGTTGGCTGAGCAGTGGCGTCACGAAGGCCACCGCGCTGTTCAAACTTTTTAAGACGCTCTCTCTTTACGGGCAGTCGCGCCTCGTTAAGAACCGCCGCCGACATTGTTGTCGTTCTGCGGAGAAGGGGAATGGAGTTGATGGAGGAGAAGCTCGCCTCCACGCAGCCTTCTGGTCTGCTTTGGCCTCGGTTCTACAGCAGCGTCGTCTCCACAAGAAGCAATGGCATGCGCTCTGGGAGGCTCAGTCTGATGGCCAGTGTGATGTTCAGCTCCTGCGCGCCTTCCCTCTCTTTGGGCTTTTGGTGGTTGTGGAGCGAATGCGATGGAGACAAGACAACGAGGATCCCTGCACTGTCATCGCTGAAGTTGTCGGCTCTGCGTTGGGCGTTGTGATGCACGAGTCGAGGGCATTTATAGGTGTGGCTTTGTTACGGGAAGAAAAGAATTTACGGGTGCTCTCCAATCATCCGTTGATTGGCGAGGGGTTGAGCAGGAAAGCCACGGATAACGCATTGATAGGAGACGAGGGGCTCCCAACGGGTCGGATTCTGCGTGTTTCGAAGATGTTTCCTGGCGGCACAGGCACTGCAGCCGAGCTGCGCTGCCCTCGTGAAACCACGTGTTGCGTCGTGGCGAGGGTGGCGCCAGAGGAATTGTATGATAACTTTACTGCATTCAGCCCGCTCGTTGGCCGCTATTTGTGAAATACTCCGCGAAGGATAAAAACTTCTTTCCATGCCACATTTGTTTCCATCTCTCTCACTCTCTCACTCTCCCTTTCTTTGCACGTGCATATATTTATTTATTTATTTATTTATGAATGCGCGTGCATCTCCCTTTGTACCTTCTTTTTTTTTTTTTTTCCACATGTTTTTTCTATTATCTGCGCAGGAAGATCGGGGGGTAGTTGCTGTTTGCTTCTCTCCGAATCTGTGCGGGCTTTTTGTGTTCTTCTCTGAGTAACTGACTGGAGGTTTACATTTCAATGAGCAGTGATCCTTTTTCCATCACGCTGAAGACAGCAGTGAACACTAGGGCGCCGCTGAGCGACCGGGTGTCATGGCGGCGGCAAGTAAAGGAGGTTGTTTCTGCCAAATCTGCGCTGCACCGCGGCATTCATACAACATATGACGCCGCATACAGCTTCGTCCCCGCGCGCACGGATCCTTCCGACGGGAACCGCTTCCTCTCCCTCCTCCGCTCCCGAGTAGGAGCAGCGGGAAGTGGCAAAAGTGCTCATCTTGAAAGTGGTACCGCGCCCGTGGCAGAGGAGCACCTACAGTGCGAGCGGAAGCAGCCAGCGGCATCACAGCATTCTTTGCCGTCGCGGCCAGAGGAGGAATTGCGGGAGTCGAGTAATTTGCGGTTCTTCGAGCCCGTCCTCACCAGACACATGCCGAGTGAATGGGAAACGGAGCAGCAGGCGAGTAGTCGCAATGTATTACCGGTCGCGTCGCATGGCTTCTACAGCACCGCCCGTAAGATTGAGCGTGAGGACGACGACAGACGCAGCGGCCTCGTCGGAAACACACAGCGGACAGTAGACATCATGCGGAAAAGGGCAAGCAACCCCCTTCTCTGCCCGGCCGCCAACAAGTACCACGGTTTTCGACCTGTCCGTCCGCCATGCGTCACCGACGAGAGCGGTCGTCCCGCAAGCTACTGTCTTGACATTGTCGACTGTACACAACTTGCCCCGACGACGGAGGAACAGTTGGGCTTCGACATGAGTCCCATTGCCCGCTTGCCGAATGCGGCAACCCTGTCGCAGGCGCTCGACGTGCAGCAGCGCGTCATCACACATATGGGAACGTCGCATCCGCTCTTTGTTGGCACCGCGAAGGTGATGGAGACGGCGGTACCCAACTATACGGGCCATGCCCCCTGCCACCCACGCAACATTGCGGCAATACGCGGCAACGACACAGACCCGCTGCGCCTTTTGAGCAAGTCCTTCATGACGCTCGCCGAACATGGTGGTGGTGTAGACGCAGGAAATAACTGCAAAAACCCACTGGTGCGGAAACGTGGCGGGATACGTGCGCCGCAATCAAAAGAGCTTCCACCCAAGAGTGAAAAGGGCATCCGCAGTACGGTTGAGGGCTCCATGTTGCAAGCAACGCTAAAGGACACGTTGCCTGCCGAGCATGCCATAAACCAACGTGAAGACAAGGCGCTCAACTCTCTTGCGTAGGGAATGATACAAAGAGGAAGAAAAGGAACGAAATATCAAAAGAAGAGGAGTAGAAATAAAATAATCAGAGAGAGAGAGAGAGAGAAAAAAAAAAAAAAAAAGAAGGTGAAATGATGTGTTGTTTTCTTCCCTTTTTTTTCTCCCCTCCCTCTTGCTTTATCTGCGCCTCATGATGTACACTGTGGTCTTTTTTTATATTCTCATACTTGTGTGTTGCGTGTCTGCATGTATCTGTGTTTGTACGCAAGTAAATATAAAAGTATTGAATTATTGATTTATATATATATATATATATATATATATTTATATATAACTGTTTTTTCTTTTTCTTTCTCTCTCTCTCTACCCCGTGTGTTTCTGGGCCCCTCCAATTACAGTTACGTGGGGGATCTTTTATTACAAAGTGGGGTACCCACCGGAGTCATGAAGGACATGGTTCAGCACGATGATGATGTGAAATGAAAGCTGGAATAGAGGGGGGAAAGGATGTTTTTTTTTTTTGTTGTTCTTCTTCTTGTTGTTGTTTTTGTTGTGTGCGTGTTACTCTGGGAATGGCTTTATTGGCAACAGATATACCCATGCAGTCCGGTAATATATATATATATATATACACGAAGGGATGTCACGGTATTTATTTGAATTATTCTTCTCTTTTTTCTCACGGTGCTTGTGTATTTCTTGTTGCATGGTGTCTTGTAGTGAAGAGGGAATTGGTGTACGAGTGGTGCGAGGAGATTTGTTGCAGCTGCTTCTGGAGAATTGCGCCTGGGCCACGGCAAGGATGAGCGATGTGGCGTTATTCAAGATTGGGGTGGCGCTGTCCCTGACGTCAGTTACGGTCTTGGGGATGTGCACGCCTTTTTTGTGCGTGCAGAATGCCAAAGGCAACACGCCACCCCGCCCCCGCACACAACTCATGACAAGTCCGCGGCCACTTTCACTGGCGAATTGCTTCTCGGCCGGTACGCTGCTTGCAATTTCGCTGGTGCATTTTATGCCATGCGCTCTCGCGACGGCTGGAAACGGTGTTTCCCCGACAGCACTCTGTGCCGCATTGATGATTGGTGTCCTTTTTCCCGCCTTGATTGAACGCAACATCACTGAAAGTGTGGCACAAAGTGGGTACGGTCATAGTCATGGCTTGTTTCTTGCACACGAGAGTTATCAGCGCCTAACAGTGATGCCACTTATTATGCTGCCCATGTGCTTTCACGCGGCAGTGGAAGGAGTTCTGTTGGGTCTTGAGGCCTCCGTCGCTGCCCTCATGGGTTCTGCCGTGCCGCTTTTTGTTCACCGTTTCTTTGACGGTGTCGTTGTCGGTGTCTGCATTGCGAAGGAAGTCCGCGCCGAGATGGAGGCGGTTGATGAAGTGACGCCGCTCAACGCCGCGGAAAAGAATACCACGGCCGGTGATTTTGCTGCAACGTTTAGGCGTCGCACTTGCCGGTTTCCCATCATTCTGTGGCTCTGCATCATGCCGGCCGCTCTTCTGTTCTGTGTAGTGCTCACAGGCAACTTCCATGTCCATGGCGTGAGCGAGGCACTCCATCGCGGCGGTTTGACTCGGCCTTCAGATGGCGCGGAAAGTCACCTGAGAAGCAGCTGGCACAAGGAGAGTAAATGGCTGGCGCTCACACAGGCTGTGGGCAGTGGCTTTTTTTTATACGCAAGCCTCACGACACTTACGCTGGAGGAGCTAAAAGGGACACGGGCAAGCTTAGCCCTGTTCGCAGGGGTCTTATTCACCTCTCTTCTCGGCGCCATGGAAACCCATTAAAAGTCAATTTTTAGTGAGACAAAGCGGAGGGGTGCAAAAAGCAAATCACAGCCGTAATGAAGTGAGGCATAGGTGCGCATACCGTTATTGTTTCATGGACAAAATGAGGGGAGGAAAGCCGAGCTGCAATTCTCTTTTCTGACGTGCTACCAATGATTCCATTCAAGGGCATCATCAATATTTCTGCCAAGAAGTAGGATTTACATGTTTTTTTTTGTTGTTGTTGTTGTTCTTGTGGAGGTTGTGGTTGTTGTGATGCGACTTTTGCTTCAATCAACTTGCATCTTGTTCATCTTACGTTTGTGCGTCAGTTTGTGATCAGCCTTTTGTCCTTTTACTGCCTGTGGGAATGGAGCGAGGAGGAGTTTAAAAAAATGTATTTATTGTTCTTGTTGATGTTTGTCTTTGCAATGTTTCGCCCCACCCTTTTTCTTCTGTCATGTAACGATGAGTGTCCGTGAAGGTAAGACGTCTCGTGGCCAAGTGAGGAGGCATCACATACTTTTCTTTTATGGCGCAACGCCCAGTGAGTCGCGTGCTGGATGCATTCCAGACATGCAGCGCCTCGAGGGTCCCACGTCGGCCTCTTTCTTCGGGTGCAACCGTTGAAGAGAGAGCAGCCGGAATTATGTTCGGCTACGTGGAAACGATACAACTTCCGGAGAAAATTGACTGGAGAACATTTTTTCAGTTTTGCCCAAGCGTTACGACGGGTTTACCGCCCGCTTGTGTTTTATTTTTGGCGCTGATGACATCACCGACCCGGATGCTGCGACGGCTATGGGGGCTTACGCGAGGGACGGCAAAGACACTGGCGGTTTCCTCTTGGATGGATTCCTCTTCCGCTGCTGCTGCTGCTGCTGCTGCAACATTTTGTTTTGTGAAGAACATCAATAGCTGCTGCTGCTGCTGCTGCTGCCGTGGTAATAATAAGAATCGTAATAACGATAGTGATGTCGCTGTTTCTCCGCAAAGGCACCGTTTCTTCCCCCGCCACCGACGGCCGCTGAGTGCTGTTGGCTTTGATTCTGTTGCCATTTGTGTGTCACGGCGGTACCTTGCGGGTGATGGGCCAGCACAGAAGGAACCAAAACGAGATGAGTGCTTTGCGCAGGATGACATGGTTTTTTCCAAGACTGGTGTGGATGATGAATGGACCGCGCTGCAGCTTCCCAGGGCACGCTGGTACGCCCGTCAGGTTCAGCGTTCGCCTGTGGACTCCGAGTGCGTGCGGCGCCTGTGCCAAGACACACACATGCGAACCGAACACCGGCGAGTGGCAATGGCGCTCGGTTGCATTTACGCATCAAATAGTAGCAGTAGTAGTGATGGTGATGGTGGCGGCGTCAGTGTGACGGATGTGCTGCTCTGCCTACCCATCACCGACCGTGCAGCCACTGTGGCGGCTCTTCTTCGTTTTTTTTCGCATTATGCCGTCTCCTCCGACCGACTCCATGAGGCGTTGGCAACCGTCTTGAACGATCGCCATGCCACAAAGAAGGAGGCGTGGGTTCTGCTGCAGGCGATGATGGCGGTGTCTGATGTGAGTTCAATTGTCCAATTGTGGGGAATCACGGAGGTGGTGCGTCATGTGGTTCTCGGCGAGGGTGGCAGCAGCGTGGTGCATCGTGAGAGGACTACGACGGCACTGCGGTTTGGCGAATGCGTCTTGACGGCGGAGACACTAGCAGCGCTGTGCGAGGAGTCTGGTCTATGGTATGAGTCCGCCGCATACCATTCCTTTGCCTCAGGGGTCCTGCTGGAGGTCACGGAAGAGGGAAAGAAGAGTAACAGATGCGGATTTGGGGAAGAAATGGTGGTGCTTCTGCGGGCGGTGCGAAATGGCGAGTATACTGCACCATCGTCTTCGTCATCATCACCTCCAATCGGCACTATCGAGGCGCTTCGGAAAGAGATGTCGCCGGTGGTAGCAACGTACACCATGCACCGTGTTGCCGCCGAACTCACACGAAATGAATGGGAAAATGGGTATGACGCATCGAATAGGGAGGGCAGCGGAAATAGGGGCAGTAGGAGTGGTAGCGATATGACGGCTCTGCAATATATGCGGAATGCGGCACCGTTATCAGACGATGCGGTGTGTGCTCAGGCGTTCAAGCTTCACTTTGATATGCGTCTCGGTTCTCTCTCAACTTCTTTGGCTCTCCTGCCATCATGTCGTCATGACTGGCATCGCACTGTGCGACTTATGCAGCACACCCATCGTGCTGGCGTGGCACATTCATTGGATGCTCTTTGGGAGCTGATGGAGTTGGCTCCATCCGGTCGCTACTACGTCATGTTGCGGCTCCAAGCCTCTCAATATCGTTTCCGTGGCGCCAATCACAACTGCACACTTCTCCTGGAGGCGAAAGCAACAGCAGAAGCACTGGGTGCGCCCGAAGGCTTTGAAGCCTTGTCAGCAGGCCCATGGCGACACCTTGCAGAAGCGGCAGCTCGGCACCAGCCCCATGTGGGACAGGCTCTCTGGTCATTGCCTGTGAGCTACATTCCCCGTGTGGCCGCCGCCATGCCACACTTGCCGTCCTCCGTCTTGTCATGTTGGATTCGGTTGCTTCTCCGTCACAGGCGGTATGACTCTGTCGATGTGGTTCTGCAGATGGCTGCTGAACGTGGCGTTGTACCGGAGATGATGGCGCTTGTTGAGGTACTTGAAAGTGTTTATGACCTCGATGGGGATGCTGCACAGCTGCAGCGGGTGGTAAGAAGTGTGCGGAGTTTGTTTCCCTATTGCGCCCCAGCCGTGTTCCGTGCCTTTGTGGAGCGCACTGCGGCGCAAATGCATGATAGACCTTCGCATTCGTGGAGCACCGGGCTGAAACTACTTTCCACAGTAAGTGTTTTGGGTCTCCTGCATTATCCGCGCAGTTGTTTGGAGTCCATTGCGGCCTGCGCCCCCACGCCCGTTGTCTATGCAATGCTGCAGATCTTGAGTGAGGAGGGTGATGCTGCTGCTGTGGAAGGTGATGGTGGCGCAGCAGTGCCGTGTTCTTCGCCGGCTCCTCTGGAGCTTGGTGCATTGCGTCGCCTTCTCCGCTCCGCGCAGATGGCTGGCCTCCGTCCGAAGGTTGACGTTGTCGCGGTGTCCTGCGCGACCAAAAAAACGGCATGGTGGTCGTCAGACACGGCTGTTGCGGGAGTGCCGATGGCAACAGCGCTCTACAGGATGCAGGCGGTAGGATTGTGGCGCCACGCCCTGCAGGAGGTGTCTTGGATGAAAATGAGTTGCGTGGATGGTGCCGCCCGTTGCGATGGGGTGGCAGTCCACCACGCCGTGCGACTGGCTTCATTTGGAAGTGATAGCGTGGCCACCCTTCGTCGTGGTGTTCTGGCGGCCGAAGAAATGGGACGAAAAAAAGTTGGTTTGGTGGAGTCGGGTCGGGCGTGTCGTCTCACGCGGGTGGATGACGCCATGTTGATATCGACAATTGCGTGCGTTGCGGGTGCACTTGTGGCGCGTGGCCGTTGGGAGTCGGCGCTGCGCATCATTCCGCTGGGGGTAACGGACCTTCCGTCTCTCCTCAGAATTGCACGGCTGAAGGCGCTTCAATGCAGCAGTGCTTTTGATGTGCATGCAGCAATGCTGCTGGAGCCGGAGCAAAGGCCGCGAAAGAATAAATGGAGGAAATATCAACAAGCCTCCTGCCGCCCCGCCTTCCGTCGTCGTCGTTGCGGGATGCCGGCGGGTGTGCGTCGAATTGTGAAGAAGATGCAGATGAGCGAAATGTTCCGCTGGTGGGATAAACGGAGCTGAGGAGCCCTTTCGTTTGGTTTGCTTCTGTTCCCCGACTGTTGTCGCCTCGCCCTCCTCTTTTTCTTTCAGTCTCCTTTTTTTTTTTTTTTTTTGCTGCAATTGTTGTTCTCTGCGGCCGTGAGCCCTCCCGGGAATGTAATGAATGATTTATTTTTTTGTGTGCTCTCTTTTCTTCCTTTTTTTGCTGGGGGGCGGCTGCGCCCATTGGCACGCAGAGGGTGTTTGTGCAGGAGGAGGATGAGGCGGACCGCCGCCGCGTGTGGTGGGTTCACCATGAAATACAAGAAGGGCACCGGCCTGTGGGACGAGGACCACGTGAATGACTACAAGACCAACCGGTACCTCTCTGCCCGCGCGACGATGCGATGGTACTACGAGATGGAGCGGCTTCAGACCCGCAACAGCCTCAACGCCCGACGCGGCACGCAGAGCCACAACAACAACATGGGCCTGCACCACAGTGGACGCGGCGCCTTTGAGCGAGAGGTGGAGCGGCGCGGCCTGCAGGTGGAGAAGTACGCGCTGACCACCACGACAGGGGCGACGCGTGTGGCGGAATTGACTCTGCTGCGACGGCTGGAACTTGAGAAAAAGGCCGAGGAGGCGATGGCGAAACAACGTGCGGCAGTACGGCAGCCGGCACCGTCGGCATGGTACGATGAAGCACTGGGGCCTCTGAACCCCGAGTTTTTGCGCTTGATGCAGCCGCACTATGAGGTGGAAATAAAAACTTTGCCGGAAGCCCCTCTCATCCGTGAGCAGCAGCAGCAGCAGCAACAACAAAAACGTCGGTACCACCACCAGGAGTCGGCATAACCGCTGTTTTTGCGAATGGCGCCCACATGAGAAAAGTAAAAGAGGACAAAAGAGAAAAAGGGAGGGTTAAGGATCATTTGTGCTCTCATGTTCTTCCTCTTACCGGTGTGGAAATGCACAAAAATTGCATACATACATTACTAGACTTCTTACTGTATACATGCATTTATTTAGTTAGTTAGTTGTTATTTGTTTATATTTCCCCAATTCTTTCTTCTTACCGCACTGCATTCGATAATACAAATTTTTATCAATGTGGTGTTTGCACGCATCAGAGTGCTGACTTTATTAGGTAGCGATGGCGCAGCGTGTCCCGTACGACGTCGTGTACTGCACGAGTCAGGACGACGCGTTTCCTATCGACGGCTTGGGCCATGGATTGCTACCGAATGCCGCAGCGGCCGCCAATGTAACAAACGCCTCTATGCTGCGGAACTGCAAAGGCTGGCAGAGCGCGCGGAATGTAAAAATGCCGCAGGCGCTTGTGTTGCGTTTCCCTGGGAATGTAGAGCTGACGCAGATGCGTATACTGAGCCATGAGTGTAAGATTGCTTCAAAGGTGGAGGTGCTTTTCTTTGCACTGAAGGGGAAGGAGATGGAAATGCACCCGCCGTCGTTTCGCACCATTCACTTCACGAAGCTCGGTGCGGTGGACTTTAACAGCAATGAGCAGTCGAATTACCGTTCAAAGGAGCGCAAGACGATTCACATGCATGCGGTGGCGTACTTTGTGAAGCTGCTCTTCCACACCCCGCACCGCAACGCACAGAATGTGTTCAATCAGGTTGGGGTGTACTCCATCGAGTGCCACGGGCAGATACTCTCGCGCGTGTGGTGCTCCCCTGACAAGACGCCCGTCATTGGAAACAACAAAAACAAAAACGGCAGAAGCATGAGCGGCGGTGACCTCACGGAATCTGTGAGAAGCAGCGAACAGTTGCACGGTCTGGTCTTGGACCCTACCAGAAGACGTCAGGAACAACAACAACAACGAGAACAGGTAGAAGAGGAAAAAACGCCACTTCGGCCCTTTTTGCGTCAAGAGCAGCGTTCCCCTTATAGTGCGCAGCAGCAGACGCGGCAACAGTTGCCACAATCGCCACCACTGACCCCCGTGCGTGAAATCATCCCCCATGGCAGCGATATTCCTGTCTTTCGCTCCGTTCGCATCGTCGAGTTTGAGGAGTTCTTCATCCGTCGCTCAGAAGACCTGCTCGCACTGAAGGACCAGGCGGTTGCAGTGGAAGACTTTGACACTGCGAAGCTGTGCCGCGACCGCCTCAATCTCATGAACCGGCGATCAAAGCGCATCTACCAAATAGAGCAAGACAAGGTGCAGGCAATTATAGAAGAGGACTTTGACGCGGCGAAGGAAGCTAAACGCGTGATGGACGCCATGATAGAGAGGGTGTACAAGGATGCCCAGTTGCCACGACCACAACCGGACTTTGACCAGTATGAATGTATCGGTGAGACGTTCCACGAGAACCTCACCTACAACTCCCCTCGTAGTGAAATGGCAGATGTTAGTGAAGAACGCATTAGAGATAAAAGTCCCCGCGATACGGATGGTCGGGACGACGGTGCGGATCACAGTACTAGTAGCAATGGAACGGACACGGATAATCACCGTTACAAGAATGAGAGGGATAGCAACAATAACAACAACAACGACAACAAAGATAATATTAGAATGGATATTGATGAATATCGTGATAGTGACGCACATGAGGGGGATACAATGCCAATGGTGTCAAAATTTGCACAGCGGATGGTCGATATGGTGCGAGACATGACATATGAGATTGACAAGGTGGACCCACCACCGCAGGAGAAGAGTGATGACAACCCCCCCACGCCAAAGATTGAGGAATCGAAGCTGCAGCCCTGGGAACGCCGCGTGGTGCAGGCCATCATGGCGGCCTCCTCCGAGACAGATGGGCCAGCTGTGCTTAATCCTTACGTGAAAAATACCCGTGAGGCGCTGGATCTTCTTGGTGTCTTGGGGACGTTTACTACTTGCTGTCTTTTTAGCAAACGTTTCAAGCTGCGTGAAGCGGTGCTTGATGTACTCATGGAGCGAATGGGTGAGCTTTACCAGGCATCGCCTTCTGCGATGGAAGAGGCTCTGCTCCGCTTCCTTGACATGAACGGCCATGGGCTGCAGGACACGATTCCAAACGTTGTAGCAGCGGGCTGTGCCTTTGTGCGTATGGTACTGGCAGACGAACACAAGTGCCTCTCCTCTGTGCTCGCGCCGGTTGTGAATTTGTTGCCACGACTCCTTTGTTGCGCCGCAGATTCCAATCAACGCATCCGTGACGAAGCGCTGGCGACGCTTACATTGTGTATCAAGACACATTCTTTAACAAATACAACGATCCTCACAGCGGTGCTTGCGCATCCGCTGGACAAGGAGCGACGTCGGCTTCCAAGCTGCGGCCCCCGGGTGCAGGTCGCTCGTCTGACGGTTCTCGAGCAATTAGTAACGGCTGGCCGCATGGGATTGCGCAACCATACCGAGAGTGTGTGGGGGAAGCTGCTGCGGCCCTGCATTAATCACCAGAGCCGCGAGGTGCGCGACGCCGCTGTGTCTACAATCACGTCACTTGTACAAGAGCGGAAAATTCTGCTGACGCCAAAGCACGTCAACATGATTGATAACGCGGCCATCCGTGACCAAATAAAGGCGGTTGTGGAAAAATCGAATGCTGCCCGGGCCTGTGGGGAAGCTGGTGATGCCGTGGGTGCAGCTGCAGGTGCCGGAACGAAATGCGGACCGAACACTCAAGGCGGAAAGGCGGGTAACGGACGAAGTAAGCCTCGCACGAAGAGAGTTAACAGTGATGTGGCGGTGTAGAAGAGGAATGTATGGGGGTGCGGCGGCGATCACTTTTTTTCTTTATTCATTTATTTGAGAAATGAGTGTAGCGCAATTGTATGCATTTTTTTTTTTTTTATATAATTCTTTTTTTTTTTTTTTTTCTCTCTTCTTTTTTTCTCTCCGTGTATTTTTGCCTGAAGGCCGAAAGACAAGCAGATTGTGGTATGGTGGATGCAGTGCACATTGTCTGTGGCGATTTTTCTGTATTCCCCCTTTTTTTCTTTGTTGTTGTTGATGATGACGATGATGCGTTTGTGTGTGTTTTGCTTTTTGGTATTATACCTGCCTTTATTTATTTGTATGCGTACTTTTTTTGCTTCATCAGACTTCTTCTCCCCCTCTCTGTGTGTGCATGCATCTGCGTGCTTGTACATTGGTGTGTTTGCGTGTGTCTCTGTGTGCACGTGCCAATCCCCCCACTCTTTCTTTGCCTTTGCCTGCTTGTAACAACCCGTTTGGTGGGGCGTGACTAAAGAAGAGGGAAGGGCGGAACAGGGAGAGAGTGGAAAGGCAAGGGAAGAAGCAAACGGAGAGGGAGAGGGAGATGGATCGTCCGTTTGAAACACACATTAGGGCAGAAGAGGTGGAGGAGGAGGCGGAGGATCCGCGAGAAGCGTTTTTAGACCTCGACGACCCCAACAACGAGATCCTCGACGAAAGCAAGATGGCGGAAATCGAAGACGACGACAACGACGACGATGGCGGGGGGCGGGGGGAAGAGGAAACGCAGTCCTGTGGGGCACGTGATCTGGACGAGGTAGAAGACGCGGAGGATCTTAATGGCATTCCTGACCGGGAACCGGATCGTGATGATGCCCTCTGCGTTTTCCGTGGACGTGATGGGCATCCGCTACATGCTGTCACCGCCCATCCACATGACACCCAAATCTTTGCGGCGAGTGGGGAAAGTGACGAGGTGTACATCCTGCAGCTCGCGTCGGACAGGCGCACGGTGGAAACGAGGGCAGTGTTACAAGGCCACAGTGACACGGTCAGCCTTTTGGCGTTCTCACCAGACGGGGCGTGGCTCGCGAGCAGTGGTATGGACTCTGTCGTAGCGCTCTGGTCCACGTCGACGTGGGAGTTGCGGCACTGTCTTCGCGATCTCAGTGGCGAGATACTGACACTCCTGTGGCACCCATCTAGCCTCGTGGTACTCGCCGGTGGCGAAGACGCGCAGGCGGCCATGTGGAATGTTTCAAAAGGAACGCTTGCCATGTATTTTGTTGGCCACGGCGGCCCTGTGACGTGCATGGCGTGGTCACCAGACCACAAGAAGATTCTGACGGGCAGCGGCGACGGCGGTGTCATCGTCTTCAGCCCCAAGTTTGGAGAGCAGGAGGCGTACATCACGAAAGGTCTCAGTCCCGAGAGGGCATCTGTCACGGCGCTCTGTTTTCTTGGTGACGATGACCGCTGCGTCGTGGGATGTGAGGATGGCACGATGCATGTTATCTCGCTGCGCGCTGGGCGAGCTGTCGCCTCCATGCAAGAGACACACAGCCAAGCCATTGAAAGCCTTTGTATCAGTCATAGCAGCGCTGCTGAACGCATTAGTTCGCCGCCTCTTCTTCTTTCCGCATCTTGTGACTGTTCAATAGCCGTCTGGAACACCGCAGACCTCACGCTTCGGGTGGTGTTCAATGTTGGCGAGAGTGTCATTCCCGCTGTATGGGCGCACGGCCACTTTGTCGTTGCCGGCTGCAGCGACGGCGAGGTGAAGGTGTGGGACGGACGGTCACTGGACCAACAGCCACTATTGCGCTTCATGGGGCACCGCCGTATGATCCTCAGCCTCACCGTCCGTGAGGTTTCTGGTGTAGTGGCCACGGCAAGTGACGACGGAACGGTCCGCTTTTTCTCATCGGGTCTCCAATAGTCTCAGATTTTCTTTGCATGCCGTGTGTAGAAGGTGGTCTCGTGCAGCTCTCAACGGAAATCCGTTGAAACCCAAAGGCCAGTGGAGCTGTAAATTCCCCCAGCCTCTCTCTAATACTTTATTCTAACACTACAAACGTATTTCTTGTTTCTTTTCTCTCTCTCTCTCTCTCTCTGTGTGTGTGTGTGTGTCTCTACGAGGGAGGACCCCTTGCTGCACGTCCACTTCTGTCTTCTGCCTTTTTCTCTTGTGTTTTCCGCCTTGTTGAGTTTATTTGAGCTTCACAGGCCACACACACACACACCGCTTCTTCTCTACCCCTGCCAGGAGGCCTTCGGAAAAAACGGTACAGGAGCGGGGAAGGGGAAGACACACGAGAAAAAAAAAAAAAAAAAGAAAGAGAGAGACGAAAAAGGGAAGGTGATATGTGTGATGGAGGAAAACCCCGCAGAGGAGGATGTGAATGAAATCAACACGACGCTGCTTGATCTACAGGACGCGTTTGCCACGGCGCTGCGGAATGCCGGCGTGTTGGGGAAGTTGCGCGCACAACTCCGTGCTGCGGCCATCAGCGTCATTCGCGGTGACCCGTATCTTCGCACGGCTGCTGTGGGAAAGACAATTTTGCCAGCTGCCCTCTCGCCTGAGGGCCGCGTGGCGCTGATGCTGATTGAGGAATTTGCACGCGTGCACGGGCTGCAGCAGACGTTAGGTGTATTTGAGGAAGAGGGCAACTTGAGCCTTGTGGGCGAGTTGGAGCGCAACACTGCGCGGCGGCTGCGAGGCTCACTGGAGTCATCGGCGCTAGAGCAGTTGATTGCAGCCGCAATGGCGCGTGAGGCACCGCAGCTTCAAGGACAAGAGCCGATGATGACGTCCGGGTCACTGCTGCCTGCGTCCACCCCCATTGTTTCTGATGAAAGGGAAGGGGAAAGGGAGCAGCACACGGTTGCCTGGCAACAACAGCAACCGAAAAAAGAAGTTAGAGCAGAACTGGAGACACCGTGTCATCCAGAGATCGCCGCCGGGTTGAAGGAGTACGAAGACTCAATTAATTATAGTATTGTGAGCGTCGCGGACCTTCCAGGCGTTGATGAGAGCAATTACGACAAGATAGAGAAGTTTTAAACAGACTCCCGAATACTTTCTCACCATCTCGCCATTACTATTACCATTACTGGTACTAGTAGTACCTCATAATACAACATGCATACGGTGAATCTCTTCTTTACAGGGAACAAAAACAGAGGGACTGTCAAAAAGAACATGCAAAATGAGATGATGACCGAGCCAAAATGAACTGCAAGACGTTGGATTTCATCTCTTATACATTATGCGTGTATGCGTGTGTGGGTGTGTGTGTGGGTGTCTCAACTCCCTCCTCATTTTTTTTTTTTTCCTTTGATTAGTTGTTATGATGTTTTTGGGCGGGTGTTTCCGCGCCACGTTGCACCTTATAGCCTAAATGTGTATAAATTTTTGGGTGCGTATGGATATAAAAAGGGAACATATATATGTATATATATATGCATATCTAAATTACTTTCTCTGAGTGTGTCTCCATATTTTTATTTTCATTTTTCTGTTGGTTGATATGTGTCCGATAATTGAATGTTTTTTTTTTTTTCTCTTTCTTTATTTTTGTGTGTGTGTGCGAGCAGGAGGTAAGGAGGAAGGGGATCTATAGCGGGCAGCGAGGGCGCTAAAGTTCAATGGTTTACCGCCGCTCACGCCTCTCCTTTTTTTCCCGTGCCGTGCCGCCGAGCAAGCTGCAGGCTCTCTTCCTTCGCTGTGGGCTGCGGGATATTGTCGAGGCGCATGGCGATAACTTTGCGCGGGAAGTGGCAATGCGTTCAAAGTACCAGCTGTTCAGCCCTCTTTTTACTCCATATTTTACTATAGAGAGCCATCACCTCACAATGCTTGGCGACACTATCATCGATGACTTTCTTTCTCAGGCAATGCTGCGATACGCCATACACGCCGGTCTTGTGCTAACAACGAACGCGACAAGGCAACTTAATGCGGTTTTGCACAATCACTTCACTTTGCGCCTATTTGCAAAAGAGCTGCATTTTGATGAGCTTGCGGTCCCGCTGAATCTCGATAGCCTTCTCGCCGATGACGGTGGCAAGACGACAGGGGACAGGCTTGCGTTTCTGGAGCCGCAGCATGTCGGACTGCGGGAACACGATGTTGCGGGGACGTCTTTTCAGGTCACGCCATTGCGTGCCGGGCAAAGCCCTCTTGGCTGGATGTTCTCTCATTTTATAGGCGCCCTGCAGCAGACGTTGGGCAGTGATGTGGTGCGGCGGGTTTTGTCAAACACCTACGGGGACGTGGAAGTGAACCTCCCCAGTGGTGCGGCGGCGCTCCTGCTACGCACGTTGCAGCATTTTCCCGCTGGAAACGTCACGGAAGCGGTACTTGCCGCGCAAGGGCTGCCGTTGCGTTTTGTCACCAAGACACGTGTGCTGTCAGACGAGGCGACGAGGGAGGGAGAGGAAGATGGTGACGAGGCGGCTGGAAAGAAGAGCGCGGAGGAGGCCGTTTTGTGCAGTGGGTTTGGTGTGCAGGACGCGACACGTGATGCAATGACAATTGATGGAATTGCCGCCAACCCCGGCGTGCTTGCATCGCTTGCGGCTGGCCCGGGTGGGATAGACGCCATCAACACGTGGCGTCAGCGGGCGCAACGGGAGCTTCAGGAGAGACGAGGGCTATTACGCGACGCGATCCGGGACGAGCATGACGACGATGACGGATGGCTTCACCCGCAGGAGCGGGAGCGCTACAGGCGAGGCGCAGCCTTCTACAACGCTGTGGACTTTACCGCCGTGGCAAATTACTTTGCCGATTTGTACGGGATACCGCAGCCTGTCAATGCGCAGCGAGTCACACGTCTGAAGTTTAGAAATTCCGTTCGAGACCCGCTCTTCTACGACACACGCTCCGACATGCGGAATGGGGTACCCTTCTCGACCGACGGTGAGCCGCTCGCCCAATATCTTGACCGCTTCAACCGGCCTCACAGACGTCTCTTCGAGGTGTCGCTTGTTGTTGGCAGCGGCGAGGGCCGTACTGCCGGCCGTGCCAT